GAAGTCCCATTTAACCCAGCTATTCCACTTCTGGGCATTTTCCCAGAAGAATTAAAAACATCATACCCACAGCAATAATTGTGTACTCATGTTTTTAGCAGCACAATTTGCTATAGCTAAATCTTGGAAACAACCCAAATGCCCATCCACTGAGTAATGAATAAAAAAAAGTGGTATTTTTATACAATGGAGTATTACTCAGCTGTAAAAAGATAAACTTGAGGTTTTTGTAGGTAAATGGATGCAATTCTGGACCATACTCATGAGTGAAATAAATCAGGCCCACATGTGTAAACATCATATTGTCTCCTTGGTGTAGGAACCTGAAAGAGTAAGTGAAACTCAAAACGTACAATAGATGATAGGAAAGGGAAAGAAATTGCTCAAAGGAAGGAATGACTGGAATGAGGGAAAGAACAAAAAAGAAGGAAGGCAAAATGTGAATATATATATACGAATAGCTATGATAACTCTATTGCTGATGTCCGAAGGTGTATTGAAAGGAACAGTAAATGCTTAAAATTTTGTATGTTCTGATCAATTTTGCATGCTTGTATCTGGTAATCTGAGCAACTGATTCAAAGGTTACAATGTGCAATGGAATTACCATGGTAAATTCCTACCATCTTGTCTAGTGAAACACTGTATTATCTCTAATTTTTATCTAATAATTATTTTCTTATTCTCTTTAATGGTTTGAGCAATCTTCCATTCTTACATCTGGTAATCTGAGCAACGTAGTTGATGATAGTGATATGTAATATAACAACCACTGTTAATTCATATTATTTTGTCTTGAAACCCTGTATCACTTTAAATGTTCTTGCTTTGGTTTGTTTATGTTAATGATACTGGCATGCTGCTTTTGTTCTTTTTGTTGTTTATTTCTCATTTACTACTGTCTTTAAAATAAAAAGTTTAAAAAATATTTTAGTTATTGCCCTAAGGAAATGAGACATGGTCAAAGATTTATATTCAAGGTTGCTTGGTGTAACCCTATTAAACTCTTCGTTAATTTAAAAAGCTTAAATATACTATGCTTAACAAAATATGAACTGCTCAGATGATATATAAAAATAAAAACACTCTATAAAAAAACAACTGTGAAATCATAGCAGATGTTTTAAAATATATTTTGAAATAGGAAAATACATTCAAGATATATTGTTCACTAAGTATAAAAAAGGCTAAAAAGTAACATAGATGGCATGCTTGCCATGAGAAAATGATATTTTTTTTCTTCGTGTGTATAGCTACATATGTAAATGAGCATTTAGGCTGTTTCCTTGCCTTTACTAGCATAAAAATGCTCCAATGAACAACCTCATACATTTGTCATTTTGCAGAAGTACGAGTATCAAATCATCACTATGGCTTAATCCATTTTAAGAACTGTAATCTGTGTGCAAAGTGACACATACACAAAATTATTCATTGCAATGTTGGTTAAGTGTGTGTGCATCTATGTTGCATATGTTTGTGGAAGCACACACAGTGATTTAAGGACAAAAGGAAATGGAACAAAATGTAGCAGTGGTTCTTTTAGGGCAGTTTTAATTTTCATTTTTACATTCAGTTTAAAATACTTCTTAATGTCAATGTAGACAAAAATCAAACATTAGGATATATCCTTTGGGCCAGAGATATAGCTCAGCAGCACAAGTGCCTGCCTGGCAAGCTCAAGGTCCTGAGTTTGATTCCTGGTACAAAAAAAAAAAAAAAATCAAATGCTAGGAAAAAACTGTCAATGAGATTCAAACAAAAGGAAAAACCTTGCACTTAGATACAAAATACCTAAATTTAGGACATTTATCTGTTTTGTGATCTCATGTTAAAAAAAGATTGCAATTAGGGTAAGTAGAGTTTGATACAGTGTCTTACAAGTAATAGGCCAATAATATATATTTATTTCACACAACACATTATTTACACAAAGACTGTTGTCAAGATTTGTTTAGAAAATGCATGTGAGATGAAATAGAGGACACTGCATTGGGTGACACACCTCCTATGCAAAAGACAAATACTTGGTGTTCTCTCCATATGTAGAAGCTGAACAGGTTGATCCAAACGTATGTACTAGAGCCTGGGAAGCACAAGGGACAATTGGGATAGGGGAAGGCAGATAATAAGTACCAAAATGGTGAGATACAAGGGTAAATTCTGATGTGCTCTGGCACAGTGGGGGACTGTAGTCCACAATAAATTATTACATATCTTATGAATAATCAGAAGAGAGAAGCTCAGTCTTCAAATGGAGTAGTGATGAGGAAATAGAAATGTTCATTATCTAATTTGGTCAGTATCCATCAAATACATGTATTGAAATGTCACATTGTATCCCATAAATATGTACAATTGAAACCATAAAAATAATTTAAAAGTAGAATGCACATGAAAGCATTTAGCACATGGCAATAACATAACTGTCTATAGGAAATTATTGCCTGAATCTAAATTATCCATAACCCTTCCCTGGTGTCACCTAGACTCTACAGTGGAAAAGCAGAAGTACTGGTCACTAATGGCCACTCCTCTCCATTCAACCTAGTCTCTCTCATTTCTTGATGCTGTTGTATTGCTTAAAATCAATCACATAGCTACCTGACCCTGACCTTTGGGAAGAGACTGCATTCAATAAGTCTCCCTATCAGGAGCTCACCAACCATCTTGTGAAAACCCACACCAGAGTCTCTGTCCAGAGGACTCAAGCTCCAGCAGTAGCTACAACATAAGGGTTCTTACACAAGAAAAATAAAATAAATAAAATCTATCAATGCAAAAAACAAAAACAAAAAAACAAGAAACAAACCAAATAAACAAAGAAAAAAATGAATCTGACTTTCTCCTGGCCTCTGGATAACAAGCAATAAAAGAAAAAAACTTTTATCTTTCTCCTTGAACTCTTCATTTTCTTCTTTTCTTGCTTAAATCCAGGTCCAGTATACATTTGAGTCATCCTTTGGTAAATAGTTTCTTCCCTGTCAACAACTTTGTCAATCTTTCTGAGCATCAGTACTTTCATGTGAGGAACTCTAAACCTACATACCCATTGCACAGCATGGTGAACTATCTAAAGAGTACAGTCTTCATGAAGAAATGAGAATAGTGATTCTAACCATTTAGCAAATGTTGTCTGGCAGGAGGACACAGAATAATTTGTGTCTAAATGGCCAGAGTCCAGAGCTAAGAGAAATCTTGATTGAAAAAAAAGAGGGGCTGGGGGTTTAGCTCAGCGGCAAAAGCGCCTGCCTGGCAAGCGCAAGGTCGTGAGTTCGATTCCTGGTACCGGAAGAAAAGACAAAAAAAAAAAAAAAAGATATATTATGGACCTGTATATAGGGGTGATATAAGATTTTAGAGTTCACTGGATATGCAGGATGAAAAGAGGGAAGTAGTCAAAATGACTGAAGTTTAACATTCCAAGCCCAGGGTATGTTAGTACTGTGGATGGGCACATAAGCACTGGAGACTAACAGGAAAAACTCACTTTGGGACTTAATGGTTTGGGGCAGGGCAGAAATTTCTAGACAATGTTCAGAAGCAGTTTAAAAGCTAACCCTATACATCAGATTGACCTCGGCTAGAGGTATAGATAAAAGAATTATCGATTTGAGTAAGTAGACAGAAGGCATGGAATACAGCTGAAATCATCACAAAGACACCAGAGCCTAATGGAGCCACCATACTTGGAGGAAAAGAGATATAAAAAGGAGTTCGATATCTACAGAGCTGAGTACACAGACAGTACAATGCTAGGGTGGGAAAAAGTTTCAATATTAAGATGTATAAAAATGGAGATAGATATTCTGTACCTACAAAGAGGAAAGAGCTGTACTCTATGGTTGAGTAAATTGAAGAAAAGACCTCATGCCTCTCCTTCACCTTGCTTTCGTTAAAATTTGATATAAATCAGACTCACATGAGAAAACATCATATTATCTCCCTAGTGTAAAACCTGAAAGACTAAATAAGATCCAAAGGCTACAATAGGTATAGTGAAAGGGAAAGAAACTGCTCAAAAGGAAAGAACAACCGTGATGGGGAAAAAGAGAAAAAAAGGAAGGGAAAAAGAGATATGTATATACACACAGACAGCTAAGATAATTGTACTACTAATTTTTATTAGTTCATTGAAAGGAACAGTTAGTGCTTATATTGTTTGATCAGTTTTTCATGCCTATATCTGGTAATCGGAGCAACTAGTTTGAAGATAACAATATGCAATATAATAACCACTGTTAACTTCCTAAAACATTTGATATATAAACTATGAAAAACAAGATGACAGTGTTGAGCTGAAGCAATAATACAATGTTCAAATGTACTTCAGTAGCAAGTCAGATCTTCACTAAAATCTTTTAGAAGCCCTTGGGATATTCTGAACTCTGTCCTTTGGAAACTAGGGGTATTAATTTTGTGGCTCATTTAGTCTAAGTGGGCTTTGCATTATTAATAAAGGATATGCTTTTGAGCTATTGGGCTATTTCACTGTGTGTAGAATCCAGTACTTCTTATCTTGGACAGTGGATAGTTCCCAGGCCACCTTGCCTCCTCTCAGGATGCATGCAGACACCTGTACATAAATACTTTAAGACAGGGCATCCTCTTCCTGGCTAGCTGCACCCTAATATCCTCCCTTCTGCCCCCAAAGAAACTAGTATTCCTCTTCCCTGACCTCTACCCCATGTAAGTGTACTTGTCAAGTGTTTCCTAGTCTCCCTCCTTCTCCTCAACCTGCTCCCACCCCCAAAAGTCTTCTGCATCTGGTCAGGCAGGCCCAGAGACATATGTGGATCGCGACAGTGACATTACCCAGCTGCAATAAGAGAGAGAAACAGCAGGGGGAGTTTCTTTGAGCCTGGTTCACTATCTCCTGCCTTTCTTAGAAGGACTCCCTTGAGTCAGAGAAACATATACAAGGTAAAAAGAGATGCTGATATGTTAGACAGTGGGGTACCTGAACTCTTCTTTAAAAATTTCTTTTCTATGACTTTCAGGTGATCGTCAATATAATCATCCGATTTTAAGCAGTGCTACCCAGACCCCTACACATGGTGAGAGATGACTGACAGCACTCTGCACTCCATCCTCATTCCATGTTGTTCCATGCTAACCACAGATGCCCATCAGCATCAAACACATGGTCACTGACTCCCTGAAACTAAGCAGGTGGAAGGAGCCATGTGCTAGCCATTCTCCAGGGCCACCCATATTCACTCTGCCTTTTAGACCATTATCCCCTTGGAGTTTCTGTCTCTGGATAACAGAGCAATTTTTGCCACAAAAAGGAAGAAGCTTGATCCATTCTTAACCCATTCATGCTTGCGATGTATATCATTCCTTGCAGGCATACATTCTATATGTCTAGAGCAAGGCGAATCAAAAGCTTCTTATGGTATCATTCACAAATGACATGAGACTTGGTTAAGTTACCTTGATGCTCCCCATACTAATTACAATTTGATGAAACTCAAAACTGATTTGGGACTTAGCCTCTTGGCAAGAGAAAAGGGCGAAAGCTGTAGAGTGTTAACATTGTGCCAAAGGGTTACAAAACCATGTTTCCCTCTTAGCGTTTCATGTGCTCCCAACAGATTGAAACTTACATTTGAAACCACAGAGGAAAACTATCTCAATGCCTTTCCCAAACTTAGTAAAATGTAAGACAGTAATGTAAATGGTGAACTCTCAGTCACTCTTGCCTCTTTGCTATGAAGGAGTAAAACCATTATTGAAGTTTTCATGAGAGAGAAACTCAAAGTAAATCAACGACCCACCTGGTAGAGAGAACTACAACTCACATGGCAGATTATGCAGTACTTCAGCACTGAGGTTGGGGGACATTTTAATTAGGACAAGAGGAAGAGAATATTTTGAGATGATCCTCCAGAGCTGTGGAAATACATAATGAAAGCAGCAGTAAATGAAATGTTTCACATTATTGGACACAAGAAAAATTAGAACTGGGAGAAATTGGAGAGATCAGTTACAAGAGGTTGACAGCAGTGGCAAAGTTAACAATGGGAACAGAGAGGAGGACTGAGATATGAAACATTTTGAAGAAAGAATTGGAAAAGCCTTGCCAGTAACAGAATATGGCTGATGAGAGCCAGTGCTGAGGACGACAATGAGCCAAGATTGATTAGAAGAACGGGAGTGGGGCTATTGACACTAGCCAAGCAATCAGGAAAGCAGCCAGGATGCACATAGGGTAGAATTGTTGGTGGGAGCTTAGATCTGGACATCTAGCTAGATTTGATATGACTGTAGGATATGCAAGAAGAATCACACAACAGGCAGCCGGAAATACAGAGATAAAACATGGGGAGAGGTGGAAGCTGAAGATATAAGTTGATCTTTGAAGACTGTAACAGGAGTTGGGGGTGGAGGCAATCTGTGCAAGAATCCTGAACAAGAAAAGCAGAAGGCAGAGACAGGGAGCCCGGGGGAAGCCTATGGCAATGAATACCAAGAAGAGGAGCCAGAAAAGACAAGCAAGGAGAGCTCCCACTTGCTCAGTGACATTCTGGAAGAACAACTGCTGAGCTGGCTTTCCTCAGAAGGAGCCAACACAAGTACAAACTCCTGAATACAAAAGGAAGAACCATTTTTTTCTCTATCTCTTACTTTCTTGTCTCTTCCAACTGGTACAAAAAAAGGAGAGCAGGTGAGCTTCAGTCCCTGGTTTTGCGAAGCCCACAGTGCATTAGCAATTTTCTCTGGATTGCTTTCATGGATATGACCCCTCCCCTCAAGGAACTGGAAAAGCCACGATTAAGACAGGAAGAGACCTGTGTGTGCTGGACAAGCAAGGAGCATCAATTGAATCCTTATTTTGGACCATGCAATATAAAAGGATCAGAAGAATTGGAGGGCTAGTGGTGTAGCTCAGTGATAGAGTGCTCCCCTGACATTTATAAAGCCTTGGGTTTCATCCTGTGAAAGAAAGAAAGAGAAAGAGAGAAAGAGAGAGAAGAAAGAAAAAAGAGAAAACAAAGAAAATGAAAGAAGAGAAAAAGAGAAAGAAAGCAAAAGAAGGAAAGAAAGAAAGAAAGAGAGAGAGAGAAAGAAAGAGGGAAGAAGATCAAGGGAAGGAAAGAAAGAGGAAGAGCGGGACAGGAGGGAGTAAGGAAGGAAAAAGAAAGGGAGAAAGAAAGAGAGAGTGGGAAAAGAGAAGGAGGGAAGAAGGAAAGGAGAGATAACAGGAAAAGCAAGCAAGGTTTGTGCAGTCAGGGGCATTACAATCTTTAGAGCTCAACAAGATTGACTCAAAGCAAATTACTAGAGACCAGTTAGATACTAAACTGAGTAGAACTTACAAGAATAGCAGTGTAAACTGGAACAGCAGACACTGTATGTGCTGAAAAGATGTGAGATGGCCAGAGCCAAGGCCTTTAGTCAAAGGAGAAGTTGAGAGAAGGAAAAAGGAATATATTTCGATAGGAAGAAGAGTTTGAACTAGGGATCAGTGGAAATCTTGGTGGATAAAGAAGGCAAGAAAGCTGGCCTTGGCTCAGTGGCATGTGAAAAAAAAACACTGGTTAGACTACAGTATCCAGAAATGTTGATCTTGGAAGAGGGTGAACTGAGAAATGCCTTCATTGGAAATATGATATCAACAGGCAAAGGAAAGTCTGTTCACCAACATGGCTAGAAGTAAAAAAGACAGAGCTAAGAGATTGGTGGCTGTTAACCAAGTGGAAGAAGCAATGCTTTCTGGTCCCTGCCCTCTTCAGTTCCCAGCATCTGTCATGATCTCTGCCAGGGAGGACTTTTCTGTACAACATGTTCTGATCACCCCCTCACATATGTACCAAGCTGGGCTGGGGTGAACACCAGCATATTGGCTGAGATCCTCTGGCTCAATCCCCAGTACTGGGGGTGACAGTGCAGGCAGAAAGGAACAGTGATGCCAGGAGTTCCCTGTGCCTGGGATGCCTTTGCATAAGGCCTAGGAGGGCTTCCCTCTCTCCCAGTGTTCATAGAATGTTGTGTCCCATGATTCAGCACTCTCTGCTTAGAGGATTAAGAAATCATAGTCCATTTGCACATCTGTCCCCACATTTGAGTCTTCTACTTCTCAGTCTTCTTTGGTCGTGAAGTAGCCCAACCAGAGAGGATGGAGGGGTGATACAGCAAATGTAGCCCCCCACCTCCCTCACTTCTTGGAATGATACCATAATTTCCCCCAGCACCCACCTGTTGACTTCTTTTTGTGGCTTCTCTCTTCTCATCTCTCAGAACAACAAAGCCTGCTTTCCTGGGTCTTCATTCCTCTCGGATCCCCATTTTAGCCACCAACCCTCAGCAGGTCATGCATCCCCTCTCCTGTGTTATCCCTAATCTGGCAACCCCCCAGACCCAACTCATCCTGCATGGTGCCCCAGTAATCACTCACTTTATTACCCTTTCACCGTATTTTCCATTCCTTCCTCCATCTTTTTAACTGAGTTCTGACAATGAATGGCATTCCATTCCTTCTTCTGATTTGGGAACCTCAAGGCTGTATCTCTGGGGAAGAGGGGGGAAGTACGAAGGGTGTGATGAGTCCTTTTGTGTACATTCTTTCCTCTAGCAGCTTAGAGTTAACTCAAGGGTCTTCTGAGAAGGGAATTAAAGTAAGATACAATGGTTGTGTGGCTCACAGGGCTTGTCAGGTGTGGAGCATGAAAATTCCCAGGTGGGTGCTTCCCAGGTAGGGGCATGAATTATGGATAGAGTAGGGGAGTGGCAGCAGAGTTGGGTCTTAGACTAAGTTCTTCTGTGGTACGTAAAGCAAGGCACTACAGCTCCTCCAAGGTCAGGTTTGTCTGACCTGGAGAGGTGTGCCTATAACTATTAGGAGATGGATAGCACCTTTGCACAGTAGATGGTTTTATGATGCTCCTTGGCTGCAACAGTTTTATATTTTCATCAGATTACCCAGTGGTATACTTAGAGCAGTGATCTGCTTCCAAGATTCAGAGTTGAGTCTGCTACTCAAGAACTCCTGTGGGAGGTGGTCAGTGACAGCTAAAACAGCACCTGTCCCCAGGCTATTGACAACTGGACTTGAGCATGAGGGCAACTGTCAACAGCATTTCCTGTGTGCTAGCACAGAGGGCCAGGAAACCAGGACTCTAGTTAAGGATGAATTAGAAAGTACAGAGAGAGGACCTGAACATTCCTCTGTCCAAGTCTTCACTAATGCAACACATCTCTCCCCTTTTCTTGCAGAGAAGCCCCGGATGAACAACATCCTGACATCAGCCACCGAGCCCTATGACCTCTCCTTCTCCCGCTCTTTCCAGAACTTGGCACACCTACCCCCATCCTATGAGTCTGCAGTGAAGACCAACCCGAGCAAGTACTCATCTCTGAAGAGGCTAAGTAAGCCAAGTCCCTCCCAGGGTTGAGGTCTGTCCCTGATGTCTCCAAGAAATCTTCCTCTGTCTGTTTCTCTCTCTTGACCCATCCCCAAGAGAACAAGTGCTCAAGGCCAAGAACAAAGCCTGAGTTGCATGTAGGAAGAAGAGTATATGCAAGTCTCTTGCTTTTGTTCTTTGGAGCCTGAGTCTATTCTTCCCAGGGACAGAATATAGGCCATAGAAACTTAGATCTGCACTTCTATATGAGGCAGCACTCCAACTCTTGCACCAGTTCAACTGCAAGAGAAAGACTTTCCCAGCCCTGCACACTTGCCCATCTGCTTCTGCAAATCATGGGTTTTCATTGCTCTTTGTCCCATTTTAGAATAGTAGTTAACAATGTCCAGAGCTTTTTTTGAGACCCGTAGGTCAGCTCCCTCTCTAACTCAGCCAACACCATCTAGAGAGCCTGAGACTCGCAATCTCTTGTGCATATCCTGTTTCATTAGGGATTCCTGGTCTTTCACTTGAGTTTTAGGGAGTCTGTGGATCTTGAGGGGTTTGACACTAAAATGCCAAGGAAATACATTGAGGGACCACTCTTCTTCCTTGGACTTCAGACCCTTGGGTCTTCTCCCTGAGTTTTCTTATAAATCTCTTTTGATGACCACTAACTACTGAAGCCCCAGCCTACAAGGCAATGTACCCTAATAGACCACCCCAAGCTCACATCACCCATCCCCATGGGGGAACACTGAGTTTCTATGGGAGGAAGTGGGCATCTCTGATGATCTAAGAAATCTGATTGATGCCCTGAGTCAAGAAAACATGGCTCAGTTGCCAGAATACACCCATCAGTAGCCCCTCTGCGCCAATTTAAAAGGAAGCAATGTTTTGAGTTTGGTGCAGATCTTGAGGGTTGTCTGAAGGAGTTCTCCCTGCTGAAATGTGGGGTGATTCAGGTTTGTGTGTGTGCTGTGTGAGCTTGAGAGGGCCTACTTGATAGAGAGGACAATGGAGCATTTGAGTGAGGTTCAAGTGTCTGAGCATTCCAGCCTTCTGTGTTGTGGGCACAAGCGCAGTACTGTAGGCTGATGACATGGTTGTACAGAGGTTAGATGCCCATGCATCAGCTTCCTGTGCACTGTCGGCTGCTCCAGAGAAGGTGTTACTATGTTCGTAAGTTACCAGGCATGCTTTCTCACAGATGCCTCTTAGCTAGAACATCTTGCGTTTTTCCAGCTGGAGGCTGGATCTGTGACTCAGCTTCCATAAAGAGAGGATCTAGACCTTGTTCAGAAACTCCAGGGGCTACTTGGGTGCTCCATCAAGACAGGATGCCATGAGATGTCAGGACTGTGGTGTGGTACATACAGCACAGGAGTAGGAGGAGCCCAAGGGGTTGGACTTGCCCTTATCTGCCATGAGCTCTCTGGGGATCTTGAAGAGGTCCCTTAACCTCTTGCTACTCGAAGTGGTCCTTGGACCAGGAACAGCGCCTGGGACTGTGTTAGAGATGCAGTCTCTTGGACACATCTGAGGCCCTGGGTCGGAATCTGCAGTTCACAAGCTTCCAGGTACTGGCTGGCACATTCAGTGGAACAGCACCACCTTCGCCTGAGCCTTCAGGTCCTACTCTATAAACAGAAAGGGTTTAACAGCATTGTTCTTGAAGATTTATAGGCAGATGACTCAGCGATAGGGCTGTGGGGCTTTCTCCAAGCTCTCTCCCTGGTGTCACCCCATTTCCTTCTGTCTCCTTCCTCTGCAGCGGACAAGGAGGCTGATGAGTACTACATGAGGCGGAGGCACCTGCCTGACCTGGCGGCCCGCGGCACCCTCCCACTCAACGTCATCCAGATGTCTCAGCAGAAGCCGCTGCCGCGGGAAAGACCACGCAGGCCCATCCGGGCCATGTCCCAGGACAGGGTCTTGTCCCCGCAACGGGGCCTGTCGGATGAGTTCAGCATGCCCTATGACCGCATTCTGTCTGATGAGCAGCTCCTTTCCACTGAGCGCCTGCATTCCCAGGACCCGTTGCTGTCGCCGGAGCGGACGGCCTTCCCCGAGCAGTCCTTGTCGCGGGCCATCTCCCACACGGACGTATTTGTGTCCACGCCCGTGCTGGACCGCTACCGCATGACCAAGATGCACTCCCATCCCAGTGCCTCCAATAACTCCTACGCCACCCTGGGCCAGAGCCAGACAGCAGCCAAGCGCCACGCCTTTGCCTCGCGCAGACACAACACCGTGGAGCAGCTGCACTACATCCCGGGCCACCACACCTGCTACACGGCCAGCAAGACTGAAGTGACAGTGTGACCGACAGAGCCCTGCTGGGTGCTTGGCGGGGTGGGGTGGGGCAAAACAGAGCAGAGGTCAGGAGCAGAACGTCCAGCCTTCTGCTTGTCCCTTTCCCTTTCCAGTTCTCCTCCATTGGCGGAAGGGGTGGGCCACCTTTGTCCAGAAAGCCATACCCCAGCTCCGATGGCCTGGCCCAACACACTCGACCCAGGACCTAGAGCATCTGCTTTCACTCTTCCAGTACAATCAATGGGGAGCAAGGAGCAGGTGGAGCCCCAGTCCCACCCCTGCCACCTTCACCAACGTCCTTCAGTCCCACACCCTCCTTCCCATCCAAGGCACTCTGCCCAGGTTCTGTCAGCCAGAAGACCCTCACCTGCCCCTGATCTAAAACTGTCCGGATTGGAACAGGCCAGTGGGTACAGTCAGTGGGCTGACCAAATAGGCTACTCGGTCTTATCCATTTACCTAGAACCACATCACAGAAATCTTCTAGTGCCTAAAAACTGCCTGCTTGCTCTCCGAGACAGAGAGCTGCTGTGTTATAAGCACAATACTGATTCTCTTCTGCCTGCTGGAACTCTCGGGTCCCCACCAAGTGAGTGGCCCTTCCTTTGCTGACCCTGGCCCTTCATCCCTCCCTGGGACAAGGAGGCTTCCCTTCCTGCAGCTGCGTCCTCTTGTTGGAAACCCTGTCCCATTCCAGCTGGCTGCCCTGGCCCCTCTTCTGGTGTGGTGGGGGAGGCTTTGCTCTCCTCCAGCCTAGCTGTTTCAGTTCTTTAAGGCTTTGGTATTGGGGTGCAGGGACTTTAGGGGAGTCTTCCTGGCCACCTGTTTATCTCCCCCACTGCCTCCAGGCCTCTAGGTCTGAACTCTGAGCTAGGGTGGGGAGGGCCACTGTGATGCCCAGGATCTCAGGGGCTCACCATTCCCATCATTCAAGGCTCTGCTTGTCCCCCACCATGCACCTCAGGCAGGACAGAGGCAGAAGCTTGTACAGAGAAGATGCTCAGCCCCAAGTAAGGAGGACTTTCTCTAGGCTGGCTGTCCTGCACTTGCCTGCTCCTCTTTCCCCACTGCCAACCACTTAGTGGGCTCCTTCTCTACTCAGATCGCCTTCTCTCCCTGCCTTCCTTTCCCACCATGTATCTTCTCCTGTACCCTCTAGTTCCATTACTCTCCCCTGGCTGCCCTTCCTCCCACCAGTGCATCAAAGGATCAAAGACCCATTGGTAAATGCAAATAGACAATGGTACTGATCCAGGCTACTAGTTCAGGAGCTAATTGGGCGTCTCCCCAGCTAATTAGTTCCATTACTCTCCCCTGGCTGCCCTTCCTCCCACCAGTGCATCAAAGGATCAAAGACCCATTGGTAAATGCAAATAGACAATGGTACTGATCCAGGCTACTAGTTCAGGAGCTAATTGGGCGTCTCCCCAGCTCATCGGTCCTTCCCTGCAGGGGGCACTGTAACTTCAGGCAGGTCCGTTCCTGCCCTCAGCTCTGTGAGGGGCCCCCAGTGGTAGCCCATCACAGCCCCTTCTCTCTCTCCCAACTGAGCAGTGGAAAGGGTGTGCCCACCTCTAGAGAGCTAACATGAACACAGCAACACCTCCCCCACATCTGCCCCGCAACATCAGGGGAAGAGATACAGAGGCTCCCAGTTCTCAGGGACAGGATGTCTCCTGGTCTGGGGCTGGGAGGAATCAGCTCCAGACTGTTTGGTGAAGGTGTAATACTAAAACTAGGATGTCACCAGTCAGATTCCAGCAATAATGCCCTTAAGGAGGATTTTACATTCTCTTAGCTCCACATGAATAGTCTTTTAAAAAGGTGGGGAGAACTCATCTGTCCTGAGAATTTTTAATCTAACCAAGTCCAAAAACTACAAAGAAATTTTTGGACTGCTTCCTCTTACAGAAGTCAACAATTCCAAACTTCTCTCCTCCTCTCCCCAAAGCTCACCTTCCAGGCTGAACAGGACTGGGTCATATGAATCACAAGGGGACAGAGGTTGGAGGTTATGACCACAGTCCTCAGCATCTGCACTGGGGAAATGTCCCCGGGACCCTGAGGATGGGAGATGAGGACTGACCCCCTCTGCTTTCCTCCCCACAAACACATAAACCTTCTGAAGGGCTGGTCCCCATGGGTTTATGAGCATTTGTTCCAGAAGGTAAGACTAAGGGAGATGGAAAAAAGGAAACTGATCTACATAAAGCAGATGGCAGTCGTAGAAGCAAAAGTGTGTCTTACAACTGGGCTCCTAAGCCTGGAACCCTTTGACTCCTTAGCCCTTGGCCAGTTCCCCTGAAGACCACTTGTTTGTGGGGAGGGGAAAGGACAGGTCATGGGTAGGTGAAAGCTGTTCCCCTGGTGTTTATACTATACATACTAAACCAGAGATCTGTCTCATCCTGCCGAAACATGTTCTGGACTCTAGGTTCTCTAGCCCTCAGGGGAATCTTCCCCTGGGCTCCCTGCCCCCAACCTTCTCTCTGACAAGGTGTGTTTCTGTCTGTCTCAGGGTTTGGTTCATAGGTTGATTTCAAAATAGTTTTTATTCCAAGTCTTACCACTGTCAGGTTTAAAAATCTCTTTCATCAGTTGAATCATCATTTGAAATCAGAAAATTCAGCGTGGATAATTATCCTTTGTAAAGGAGTTCTTTTGCTTTATCCTGAGGCCTGGAACAAAGAAAAAGAGAGGAAGGAGAGAGAGAGGATAGTGGAAAAGAAAGAGATAGAGATAGAGGGCCTGTAGACTCGCTCCATTTCAGATTCCTGCTTCAGACTCCAGAAACTGTCTTAATTGGGACATGAAGGTACAGTAGTCACCACTTAGACCCAGTTCTATATTACCCTGTTTCAGTAGCTTGCAGTCAACCATGGTCCAAAACTAGTAATATTTACCCTGGCTAAAAAGAGAGAGGACATTCACATAACTCTTATTACAGTATATTGCTATAATTGTCCTATTTTATTGTTAATGCTGTTCACCTCTTCTTGTGCTTAATGTGCAAATTAAACTTCATCACAGGTATGTATGCATAAGAAAAAATAGAGTTTGTATGCGATTCAGGGCTACCCCCGGTAAGGGGAGATCCACAATAAGAGGGGACCTCATCTGCTCAGCCGTTTCATCCATCTCTCTAGAATAAGCAAAACCATACTGCCAGATAGGTTCATTTAAGTGTGCATTCTGGTTCTAGAACTCAGATGTCACAGCTTCCAGCCCAACCATGCTAGTGGCCTTGCTACATACAGAAGGGCCGCTCCTCCCTCATAGAGGGCACCTGTCCCTAGCAAAGGAATCCTAAATCCCAAGATTTTCCTCTGCTCATTCTGTTCTCTCTTGTGTCTCCATTGCTCTGTTAGGGATGGACTGGGTTTGCACAGGTTTCTCCTGACCTGAATGTTCTTCTGGAGGCTTTCTGTGTCTTTTGTGCCCTTGCAGTCTTGCTTCCTCCAGTAAACTCCTGGGTCTAAGCACTCAGGAATCACAAAGGCTTTGCAGGAATTCCTTAATCTCTTAAGTGGGCTTCTGCCCATGCACCTGGAGTGATAGGTCTCTGTCCCTTAGAAAGTACCCCCTCCTGCAGGCTGAAGTTCCTCCCCTTCTCTTTTCACTTTTGCTTCCCTTTTAACCTCAATCTCCTATACCAGTTCCCTCTTCCTTTCTTCTCATTTGTTTCCTTGTTTACTTTCCTTCATCCAAAATTTATTTTCCTTGATCCTGTTATAGTCTGTAGTTTTCAGAATTAGAGCTCTGAAGGAAAACTGCAGAAGAACCAGGAATTCTTCAAGTCCTCTGTTTACCTCTCTGGTGTATCCTTCACTTCCTACATCTGTGAGATGATATTCAAGGGCATGAAGCCAAGGGCTCTCCCCCTCTGACCTTTGGGAGGGGAAAGAGAGACTGCTGGGCCAGAGGTGTTACAGCCAAAAGATCAGCTTTGGTTCCTACACCTATAAAACCCGTGAAGCTCCTGACCCAGACTGCTACTAGCTACTAGGCTCCTGCTCCAGCCAAATTTTCATACCTTTGGGGACTCTCAGCCACTCACTCCCCTTTCCTGCAAGTGAGCGTGCCTCACAGTTACTCCTTTGTCTCAGAAGACTTGAAGGCCTCAGGACTCTCCAAGCATGGAAGAGTATCCATCCCAACATCCCTGCCACCAAACTTAATTCATCTCCTTCAAAGACACCTTGTCCAGCACCAGCCTCCTACCCTAATTCCTTCCATTAGCAACTGTGGACTTGACACAAGGTAATAGTTTGAAAGGGCTGCCAATCACATGGACCCTAGAAGGCACCTGCTCTGAGAAGGGCTGGCTCATTACTTTCCATATGCCATAGGCATTCCTCTGTCATCCTCTCTGAATCTAGGGAACTTTGCTCATGAATATTTTCAAGGAAGTCTGTTGTGCTTTGATGAAGTATTTTGAGGAGTTAAATGTTATTTTTTTATGAAATGCAGCATTTTAATGGCAAATTCAATATGAAAAGGCAGCCTTCCTGGGCTCTATATTTGATTTTGGAAGGCAGCATACTCAAGGAGAAAAAGGTACAAAGCTGAGGCTCTGGAGATGCAGCTTCCAGCCCTGGCTGTGTCTCCATCTCACCACGTGACTGAGAGGACTCACATTCCTGCTTAGTACCTCAGTTTACCCATCTATAAAATGAGGGGCTTCAATTAGATATGATTCCAAGTTTCCTTCAGCTCTCACATTCTAGGACTTGCATTTCTCATCTGTGTCCTTTTCTTTCCTCACATCCCCTCCACCTCAACTGAGCTGTATACATCTCACCTATGCCTTCCCCCTACAGAGACATCTCAGACGCCCCAATTAGCCACAAGACTCCTCACCAGAGATGGGATTGGCCTGATGGTCTTGGCCAACCACGGATGTTCTCATGCCTGAGGATGAAGGGCCTGACCATTCAGCAAGATACCAACCATGTGTCACGAAGCCTCTCCTACAGACACACCTAAGCCACCTAGGTGTCTGTGTCACTAGAAAATTCTGAGTTTGGAGTTTTCATTTTTGATACGGTCCTTATAGCTGGAGGGAAGCAGTTCCAATTTCAAAGAGGGGACTAGAAAAGAAAGATTTGTATGTCAGCCTATGAAGTTTGGGCATGAAGTTTGTATCTAAGGACAGCTGAAAAACACATGCCAAGCCTCAGAGATGCACTCTTGGCAAAGGTTCCATGTGGCAGAGGATGTTATTGTATCCCACTCTGGAATGTTCTCCTGAACACAAAGACTGGACACTGAGGTTCCATTCCAACTGGAGAGGAGGAGGCACCCAACCTGGGCTGCTAGGAGGTGGGCTTTCACCTCATCCTAGTATCTTTCTGTCCCCTGCTTGTGACACTACTGCCTTCCCAGTGAAGGCTTGTGAAGCAAGAATGGAGATTCCAAGTCGGTACCATCAAACCTATATTGTAAATCGGCAAATACATTAACCTTTCATCATTCAGAAAAAGGACACTGTATGCTTCCATAAGACCCTTCCTGCTGAGGGAAGAGAAGACCCTGCTCAACTTTTCTGCCCATCCTGCAGTGACCCTTGAATGCCACTTCATGAGAGGACCCATTCATTTGCTTCGTAGTGGAAAAAAAAAATTCCTCTAGTTCTATAACACAACTAGATATTTTGTAGTAAAGAATTCTTGAAATTCTCTAATAAAAAGCAATTCTTACTATAATATTTTTAGTTTGGGGACACACTTTCCTAAGGGGAATTAATGAACATTTTTATGCATTAGCCCAATTTATGGATTCTGTTTATTATATATGGTAGTATTGATGAAAATGACCTTTCTATCCGTACCTTTGCGATTTCTTCATTCCTCATATGTAAGCTTCACAATGAGCAGTGCTCTTGTTTCTGCTCCTGTACAAATCTCATCGTCATCCTTACCTGTCAAAGCACATTCTATATGTACTGTAAACAGATATCACTTTAGTAAGATTTAGTCTTAAGAATTTTTCCACTTTTGTCAGTAACAAATATTTATGGATTAAAAAAAATAAAGCTGTTTCAACACAACTTGCGTCTCTTAAAGTAGCTACAAGCTTATTTTTGTTGAGTCTAAACTAATAATAATTAGAAAGCATATAGAATATCATTGAAGTTGAAAGTGGAAGCAAAGACTGAAAACGAACAGGAACTAGGAAACTTTTATGGGGTGATAAGGATATTTTAAAACTGGACTGTGGTGGTAGCTGCAAAACCGTAATTATGAAAGTGTATACTTCCGATGGGTTCACATTATGATGTACAAACTAAACTTTACTATTATGCTTAAAAATGGTGGACAGAAGGAACGTAGGAAGGGAAGCCCAGAACACATACCAATGAAAAAGCTATCCCCATCCACAGCAGAATCAGAAGTCCTTAAGGTCATAGCCATAGTTCTTTACCACAGCACTACTACATTAGGACATTAGGTCCTAGTTTGATTTTAATTTCTGCAGTTACTGTAGTTGATCAGAGGAACGGTGGCTAAATACTCAATCCAGAAAGTCAAGTTGCACCATGAAAAGTGATTTTGATTTGGAATTTTGTTTCTCTGGACATGACTCTTATGTTCTTTGGCTCATGTTCACTTATAGTACCAAGGTTACATCTTGTTCACCAGAGCCTAGATGTAGGTTGAGCAAACAAAGTGTTGCTAAACAAGATGGCTGGCTGAACCCCACAATTCAGCTCCTCCGTAGTTTCTAGAATCATCCTTAGCAAAACTCTATTCCCAAACTTCCAACTCCTTTGTAAATAAAATCTTTGTTGGATGTACTGGCCTTATACTTTAATATACATATATTCTTCTAATCAATGGCATTCACACCCTAACTATAAACCTGCTTACTGCCTTTATACATTATACCACATGACCACTCCAATTCTGATGTATATTTACTCATTACAACTATTGTTATTGCAGTGCCTTTGCTTCTAAGTCACTGTAATACACGGGAAACAGATGGACTCTTAAGATCCTTGCTGTATCTGATTTTTTCCCCTTTAATACTAGGGATGGAACCCTACGTGGGAAGCAAGTACACTACCACTGAACCTCCACCCAAGGCCTTATGCTTGCTGGGTTATAATTTAATGATCACAGAATAATATTCATGCTATAGCTGAAATTCTAGGAAGCAGGAAGAGCTTGTTAGTACTCACCCCACTGTCTTCCTTGGTCATACCCATCTCAACTTTCCCATCCCAGCAAATAGGATGCTTTTGAAGAGCAGCAAAGTAGAAGTCAAGGGACCTTATTCATTATATGACCTTGAGAAACTCACTTCTCTTCAAATCTCAGTTTTCTCATTTAAAACAAAATGAACAGGACAGACAAGTCCATCTCTAAAATGCTTCTCTGCTTCTTTAGTGTATTTCTGTGGCTTTCTTAAAACTTCTTAGGAAACTGATGGGCTTAGTTGGTATTTATGATGGCAGAAGTGTAAAGTAGGAGGAAACAGTGGGGATAGAGTGGAAAAAACCTTTGCCTGGACCTTCCCCTTATAAAATAGTATCTTTACCATTGCCGGTACATGTACCCTTGTGCAAACAAGATGGTTATGGAGAAGCAAAAGTATTGAACAAGAGGAAGAACAAGATTTTCAAAAGCTCTCTCTTCTGTTTGACTTAATTTTTTGTGATTTCCCAAAATCAACAAGTTGGCTGTCAAAGAAATCCCAAAGATTAAATTTTCACAGACATTTCTCCCACTCTTCATTATTTTACTCTCTTGTTTTTAGAAATAGGGCTCAAATGTGTTTCAGGGACAGTTCATCTTCAAAAACAAAAAGAGATGTATTGTTTTTGTTTCTAAACCAGCATTAATCTCAACCCCAAGTCTAACTTGCAGAGATATGTAGCACATACAGTATACTAATACTTACGCCCTCGTTCCTAATGAAGTTTACTTTAGAGATTTTCTGCGGTCCATTTACAAAAGCTACTCCTGCTGTTTCATTGCAGAAATCATGGTAAAGACTTCCCCTGCTTCATAAAGGATATTGTCTATATTGATCTTCATTTTAGATGTGAAGAAAATTAAAACTCATCATCTAAACCGGTGCCACTCAAAAGTGCAGTCCACAGAGTAACAACTTCAAAGTCCTGTGCAGCTTAGTGCAATGTGGACTCTCAGTGCTCACCTGAATTTCTAAATCAAAATCTCAAGTGGTGGGACCTCTGAATATCCATTTTAAGAAGATGCTGAGGTGATGCTCTGCACATTAAAGATGGGAAGCATACAATTTTGAAACTTTTCAGCCATATAACAAGAATAAAGACTGAATCTTGGGATGACAGTGGCCTTGCTCTGTGCAGTCTGATGATTTCAAGCAACCAGGTTAGTGAAGAGATTACAACAAAAATAAATTTATAGAGGAGTAAGTATTCAGAGAGTTAAGGCAGGGTGTATACAATATAGCTACGTACAATAGATGAGAAACTATATGACTTTTAGCCTCATAAGGTTAAGTGGGCATCTTTAAAATTTGCACAAAATTAAATGTGTCAAAATTTGAAAGGAAAGGACAATAAGGATAAGGAGTAGATATCAAGCAAGAGCTGCTCCCTTAGGCACCAGAGTATAACAGAGGAGAAACCTGTTCCTTTGGAACTTTTTAGGAAGGCAAGAAGGGATCATTGTGAGATAAGAAGAAAGGGCCGTTCAGGGAGGCCTGGATGTTCCCAATCTCCTTAGAAGTACATGACAAGGACTCATAAAATCATGAAGAACAGGCTGTGTTATGCTGTGGTCACAACTTTTAAGTCTACCTAAAACAACAAAGGATTGTTTCTCACTCTTGCTGTGTTGTAGATCAGCTGAGCTTCTGTCATACTTCCTCACAGGGCAAAGAAATAGGTGGATCAGCCACTGTTGGCCATGTTACCCATAACCACAGCAAAAGAAAGGTGGAAGGAATACTAGCCAGTCTCACTAAGACAATTAATGTCAACCCAGAGTGGCACGTATCACTTCTACTCGCATTTTCTGGGCTGGATCTGGCTACAAAGTCCCACTCTATATCATGTAGAGGCCAGGAAATGTGATCCTACCATGTTCCAGGAAGATAGAGAACATAAAATAGCCAGCTAGCGGCATCAGTGAATATTGATAATGTCTCTAGAGTCAAAGATCAGTAGTCTACAGAGACAAAAGTCTCCCTCTTTATATGGCCAGTTCTGCTTGTTCTATAGTAACAGAGAAACCAGCAAAACTATCAAAGTGTTCTCGTTTCTTAAGTCAGGTAAAACTTTTTTGCAACTAAAGCATACAAAGGCAATACTATGCCTGTTTCCATTTCAAATTAGTGGTTTTCTTATTCATGACTCATTAGTAGCAAGAAATAAACACATATTTAAATTATTTGAAGTAAATGATGAGAATATAATTATTCTCAATCATTGTTATGGAATATGAAACAGTGCATAAGACATAAGGCTTGATTATACAGTGTAACCAACCCACAAAAGCCAAGTAGTCATTCAAACCTTGACAGTTCTCTGTCTCTGCCCTACCCTTCTCTTCTTCCTGCCTTGATTTCCTTTGGTAAAAAACTTGCATTTCTTTTGTGTGTAGCTCTTCTCCTGTTTAAACCTGGTTGGAATAACTCCACCAGCAATTAAGTCTTCATAGCCTTCCTTGTTTGACCTTTATGCTAGTTGATTTAAGCTCTCTGTACCTCAATTCCAAAATTGTTAGGAGAATGCATGAAAATATCCATGATTCCCTTTGTGTATCAGCAAGTCATTGTTTTGAAACAAAACACCCCAAATGTATAGCAAAAAGTATGCGCTGTTATCTCTCATGATTCTGGGAGCCAACTGGATCAGCCAAACAGTTCTTACTCAGTGTCCCTTACATGGCTGCCATCAGATGGTAGCTGAAGCTGGAGTCAGCTCAAAGGCTTCCTCACATGTTTAGCTGGCTATTCATGCTGACTGTGAGCTGGACCTCAAAGGGATTATCATTTGGAATGCTCACATGTATTCTCTCTACCAGGATTTCTCATAGAGTACATAGCAGCTGGGTTCTAAGAAAATGTGTCTGGCAATAAGAGAGATAGGCAGGAGAGAGGGAGATATCAAGAGAACAAGTCAAGTAAAAACTATATCACCTTATGATGCAGCCCCAAAAGTAATATAATAATATACTCTCTGATTCAAACATTTGTGAAGCTCTACCCAGGTTCAAGGGGACAGAAAGGTTTGAAGGAAGTGTGGCCAGTTCCCTTTGTAAGAAAAGCATGTTGATGAAAGTTATTACTATGATTCTCCTTGGAAAATGCAGTATTTCATATTTTGGGTCAAGTGTCTATCTATGATCTCATAAGCTATAGTCAAGAAACCTTAGATCACACACTATAAAATATTTACAATCATTCACCCTGAGAGTTATAAGCAATTTTGAAAAAATAAGTAAGTGTAGGGTGAACACATACATTGAATAGTCTCTCTGTAAAGTCAGCAATTGTTATCATTTCATGTTTTTAAACGGGATTTTTGTAGTGCAATATCCCTGAAGCATTTACAAAATATCCCTTGAAAGAACATCTGCTTTTTAGTTCCTTTCCAGGACTCTGGAGATGACAGTGAACAGGGCAGGCTAACAGCGGATTCTGTAGATTCACACTAAAATATTTCCTGTAACAACGTAATGGTATGAGATTCTGATGGCTTCCTCTTATTTCTTTTACTCTTATTTTTTCTCCACCGAGACCAACAACAGTTAACCACTATCTACTCTACCCTTAGGGTAAAGGTAGACAGAGACCAGAGGAAGAATTTTTGGTGAACTTCACTTTCAAAAATACACGGCACAAAAACTGTCAGGCATTTAACATAAAATTCACTTAATGAAGCAAGAAAGTCTTTCCTTTAACTTTGAAAGTTGACCTTTGAGTATGAGTGACTCAAGCTTGCAAAGCCTGACATTTTACCATAAGCCACATAGTAGACACACTATAAAATGTGGTAGGACCATATTCTGCTATCTAGGACAGAGAAATACCTTCTTGCACTGGAGAAAAAGC